TGTGTGTGTGTGTGTGTGTGAGGGTATCTGTCTGGCAGCCAGTGACACATACCACTGCTGATGTCTCAGTTGGTGTCAGCGGCTCCACTTTTCATCCTAAATGCGTCTGCAGCTGAGAGCCTTTTACAAGTTCGTCATGCTCTGATCTTTAAACAGTACCGCTGGTGACATCATCACTCCATTCCACATTTCCAAACCCTCCTGAACGATTAGCACCTCCAGCGATATATTCGTGAATCCTGCCGGGTTATAGTGTCATTAAATAATCTGTGTGTCGTGTTACCAATTCATCCTGGTGGGTGAATGTCTGCCCTCTTGAACATGATGTCTCTTCTCTGCCTTTGGGGAATGTCTTCAGATTTTGACCAGTTGAAATTACCCACTCACTCACTAACCCCCTATTTCACTGTATCTATTCCAGTTTCTATACATGTTCACAAGTTGAACCATTCTTGTTATAAAATTCTGCCGATAACTGTCCCCCCTTTTATTTTTTTATTCATCCCCTTGAGCAGCCGCAGAATATCACAGTCCCTCCCGGGGAGGACAGAGTCAGTTTGTCGGCTGCAGGAAAATCAGCCAGCACCCTAATAGAGGTTTATCTAACCAGACATGCTAATATTTGTTTTACATGATTTCCATTTAAATTGACAGCAGGGGTGTGTAAACAGCTGTTTTTGTGTGTTCCTGAGGGGATGGGCAGGAGAGAGAGAAAAAAATCAAACACTCACAAAACAGCCATCACCTTAATGAAGGCTTACAGCAATATTTGAGTCTGGAACAGCCTCTGTAAATCTCAGGACAAGTTAATCAGAAGTGAAACAGAAGAGCCGGCAGCCACCGGCCCGCACCCGCTTCTATCTGAGAATATCTAAGATGACGTTTTCGAGCCTTGAAGCTTGATGTTTACTGTCACTGCACTTAGTTTACGAGAAGCCATGTGGAGACTCACCCTGGGCTGTGCAGCTGCTCAGAGAGATCCTTGTTCCTCAAAAGAAAAGTGTTGATTTCAGAATTTTTTGTTATAGTAGAAGAATGTTGATGTTTCTTAAACGCGACAGGCACAAAACCAAATAATACAGATATCTCAGGATGGAAAAGATGTGTCATACATGTAGAAGGTGTCAACTTGGAGAGAGGATGAGTTTGTGGTGTTGATGTCCTGTAAACAAAAACATGTGACATCTGCAGCAGGAATTATATGTCCTGCCCCCTGCATCTTCTACCCACGTGCCCCCTCTCGTCTGAATATTCTGGACATTTTCCTGTTGTCAGAGATCTTTCTCATGTACCTCAATGAAATGTGAGGACTGTAGTGTAGTTTTAAAAACAGCCATGGTGGTTTTCGCTCCCAAAAAAAAACCTCCAAGCCCCATCCGATTTAACGCCGGAGAGCAGAATGGCGTCCACGGCTCACTGACTAAAAATGTCTGCGAGCTACAGTCGCACAAAGGACATTCAGGGAGGCACCTGGAACAACTCGCTGTAGAGCGGCAGCTACAACGCACTGCAGCACATTCAGACAGGCGAGTCCAGAACCACCAAATGTCTGTAAATCAGGTTCAGATGTGTGAAACATTGACACAGTGCATCTTCTTGTCAAACAATATTTATTGGCATATATGAGAGCAAAATAGAAACCATTCAGTATTATTTGGTGACATCCATTTGTAAGTTTCGATTGCTGTTATTAGGGTTATTTGGTGAAACACTGACTACCACTGAAAGCACCACAGTTCTGCTCGCTAAAGCCATCACAGTACTAAGTCCAAACTTTTTCTTAACATATTTAATGCATTAAAATGTGACATCTGTCGGCTTTGGCACAATCTCCTCAGAACATTTCAGTTGATCTTATGTTTGAAAACAGATGCTAATCCAACGGGGGGATAAGAAAACACTAATGCTGAGGATGTGCTTACTTTTATGGGAAAAATCTAAAATAAAATTGTAGACTGTGGGTCAAGAGGTAAAACGGATTCCACACTAATTGGAAAGTCGGTGGTTTGATCTCTGGCTCCTCCAGTCTGTGTGTGAAAGTGGCCAAGATACTGAACCCTAAATTGATCTGATGGCCATGAATGTGACTTTAAAGTGCTGTGAGTGGTTGATAAGACTAGAAATACACTATATATATAATTACAGTCCATTTACCATTCATTTCTACATTGACATTGGGGCATTCCAGTATTTGAGTTACAACAGCTACGACCACATCTCATCAGAAAGTGGCACAATGTATTAATCCAGTATTTCCGAAGGCTCTGGGTAGATCCACACTACTACGCTTTCCTTTTAAAACTCATCCCTGTGGCTATGTTTACTTCTGCTGTCACCACTACTCCGAAGTTTTCGAAGGCCTAAAAACGGAGAAGTTTGAAATGCTGCTGACCCTGTCAGTCACTGAACTTTGTCGTTATTCCAACAACAGAAACTTGTCGTCTTACTTTTCACCATTGTTATATTTGGCTGAATAGGCAATCGGCTTCCTGTTTACATGCCCAGTGTTCCTGAATGGTCATGTGATGTGAGTATTATTAACGATAAAGAGTGACATGGTTTTAGTATGGATGTAGCGATGCAGCGCTATTTTGTAAACGTCAGTAAATGGCGTGCTAACCACTTTTCATGCTAAACAGCAAGGAACTTAATTAAATAAAGAGCTAAAGAGGTAGCTTAGCTGTAAGCTTGTTTGTTTAGCTCCTAATGAGACATTAAGTCACAGTTTATTCAAAGGAATATTTGCACATTTGACTTGTGGGTCATTAATATTGACCCACTTTTTGTGGAGAGGTATATTCTACAGTAGAAGAGGTGAAATGAATCTGGATGGTGCACCACATTCCTCCATTTTGGGCTATTTCCTGCAAACTCAGTGCTGTTTTCACGGATTGTTGTAGCTTAAGGCTGCAAATGAGTTGGTCAAAATTGAGCTTGGTGAAAAATTTGCCCAGTTCAGCTTCACTTCTGTGTGTAAATCTAGTGTTTGTGCAGAATTTGGACGATCAAAGCTGCTTTTTAGGACTTTGATTCAGTGCCTCGACTTCCAAACATCACACAGCCGACTGCACTGTGCAAACCTCTGAGCCTGTAAACAGCCAGTAGCTCTTCTCCTTAATTGAAAGGAACCTAAACAACATTTTACAGGTATTATGTTTTCACTGATGACAGCAGCCTCCGGTTGAACTCAAGATATTTAGTTAAATAAAAAGATATCTCACTATATCAGTGGTTCTCAAACTTTTTTTTTCTGGCATGCACCCGACTTCAGANCCTCCGGGCAAAAAACCCACTAACATCTGGCTTCTGCCTGCGGTGGGAATACATTCAAGCAACATTTACTCCTGGGTCAAATCACGAAGGAGGGGCCCCCAGTTTGAGAACCACTGCAGTAAACAGAACATACAGTTGCAATGTGGCACCTATGTTTAAAAGAAGAGAAACATATTAAACCACATACTTCACTGAAAACATTTTCAGTCCATAGAACCACTGTGGTGTGTTTAGTCGGGGTATAGGATAAAGCCGGAGAAGGTGCTGTACTTGTTGTTGTTTCCCCCGTGGGCTTTGCCGCCGTCCAGTTTGACGTAGACCTCGTCTCCAGAGTCCAAGTGCAGCACGGCACTGTTGCTGGCGTAGTCGTAGTTCTGGTCTGCATCCTGAGCTATGGCACTGGCCCGGACCTGGAAAGAAAGAGGGGACATGACTCCCTGGGATGAGTTTTACAGGAGAATGCAGCAGAAATCAGAATCAGAAGTACTTTATTAATTCCCGTAGGGAAATTTAAATGTTACAGAGCCCCTGAGAAAGAGGTGAAACAGCAAAAGCAGGTATAAACATAACAATATAAAAATCAAGTAAGGCAAGAAGAAATAAAAGATATACATATGTAGAAATAAAGACTGGGTATTTATAGATTTAAATATAGAAATAGAAGCTGAGCTGGAAAGTTCATGGATACCTCAGGGGCAAGGTGAAGCAGCAGTGGTGCAAATGTAGCTTTTGTTGAGTGGAAGGAGAAAATTCAAACTGATTCTGAGGGAAATTATACAACAGGACCCTTGAATAGAATAAAATAATATATAGCCTATAATGTAATCCCCTGCATCTCACCTTTAATAAACAGTTCTAATGGCTGATGAGCCTCATGTCTGACTCCTCATCCAACC